AGGTTATTAACTCATTTTGAGATCTAAATTTGAAGATAACCGCTGAATATATGCGATAATTTTTTTATTTATCTGGAAGTATTTCGTCTAACGAGTTACTTGTTTTCGAATCGTACTCGTAAAGCAAAATTGTTGTATATGACAGTATACAGGATTTTAAAAAATCAACTGTACTTGAACAAAGACACAGGTGCAAACAATAAAAATATGGTTCATTTTGTCCCTTGACATAATTGTTTAACATAATCTACTGTGTGAACGAATATTATAGAATTTATTAATCAGCAATTACTTTATTTCTCTAATAAAGTTTCATTTCTAAATGCTAATTACAATGACAAACCGATCATGTCATATTTGAAGTATAAATATTATACATATTTTTAATTACTTTGTACAGTAGCAAATAAGTTTTACTTCAATCGCGTGTGATCCTTACGCGCACTCTTTTTTATGTTCAAATTTTTTCATGTTCAGTTGTTCATTTGGTTTTTCACAGAATAATTTCTAAATTTTATATTGAAATTTTGTGGCCTACTCTATTTCATTATTTTAGACGCTTCTCAGGCCTTTGACTGGTTTTGAATTCAGGATATTTTTGTAAAACCAAATAAATATTTTCTAAATTATTTTAAAAGAGGGTAGGGTGGGGATTAAAAGTCCAATTTTTTTGCAGTGATCATACTGCAAAAGCGCATATCCAATAACAAACTCTTGAACTGGTTTCAGTAAAATTCTCATTTTTAAAATACGATTTTAAGCTAATTAGATAAAATTAACCAGGGGGGGTAGCATATTCAATATCTTATTTTTAGATTTAATAAGATTTTACGAAATAACAGCTACGTTTTTTAATGCGAAATATAAATTACATAGACACATTTTTTCACCAATATTACGCTATATATAGCCGTGTCCGAATACTTAGTTAAAAACATTTATCAGCAGGATTAGAATAACTATTAATTCAATTACCAGATCGGTTGTTTATATGATGCAAAGGTATTATTAAACCTTCGCTACAGATGTCGTCCCTGGACGACTGTTTGCCTTTGCTTCAAGCGTTTATCACTATGAGTGTTGAAGTATTGAGAATTCTTGTCTTTTATTGTAATTTCTAGTTCTAGAAGCGTAATTTTGACAATTTTGAAAACATTTTTATTGATAATGATAGAAATATTTAAACATATATTTTTGTGCCTTTACATTCAGTAAAGGAAATGAGTGGCATGCTGTTCCCGTATAGCAGTGATACTCCTGTGGAAAGAAAGCACTCCCGTAGCGAAAGTGTGAATTTGAAAAATGTAAAAATTATGATAAAATTTAAGAATAAGAAAAGGTATATTATGCAGATACAGAAAGGCATATTATTATCCAAAATATTGGTATTTAGTATCGATATGTTAGATGTGAATTTTTAGATGACATTTTTTGCTAGAAATAGCTGCATAGCTACTAGATCGTTGACATATGAACAAATAATGCTTCTAGACACTCACATAAATTGTTGAAGACGTTTTCATTAGAGAGTAACATGGAATATTAATTATCGCTCACAATATAAACTGTTTTATTTTCTTTTCGTGCTTTTATACGCTGCTATTAATATCTGTTCGTCGACTCCATAACTTTTAAATATTACCAAATTCTCACTCCTCATAAAAGATTGTTTATTAAGATATATCGCTCGGCTTACTTCACCGCCTCGTGTGTTTGTATGTGCCTGTGTGAGATTTCATTCAGGATTTTAACGGAGTCGCAAGTGCTCGCCGTAGTTAAACTTTTGGCATTTCTGATTTATTTACCCCGGTGTATATTAAAGAAAAGTTTTTTGCGGCAACCACCTCTGCTACTTTGCGCTGCTTTGCTGACTTTTACTGCGTGAGAAACTGGAGTTATTAAACTCCATCCACACGTACATTTTTCAAAGATTTTCATTTGTTAGAACATAACACGAGCTAAAAGCTGGATTATGAGAGCGTTCTGGAATGTAGACTTCTGCTGCAGGACAGCGTATTTTATTAAAAAAATAAATAATTTTGCTCTGATGCGAATAGTGCTTAATTCTTTAAAATCATTCTTGGGCAATTACTTACTAAATATTTTTTATTGCTAAGTATTGTGTATAGAATCGCAGTAAAGTAATGATAGCATTCATCAAATATGCTAAATGAATAAAAAAATCTTATCGTACACCGAGTAACAAAATTTATCCAGATGATAATTTGCTGGACAAAGTTGAAAATCATAGCACACATAAAATCACTATTTTACATATTTTGTTAATTGAAACACTCTTTTAATAGCATTTAAAACACATTGAGTACATATGGGAGGCTGGGTATGGTTGTACCACTTTTTTTATGAAGCGTAAGCGTGGTACAAAGGCCCAATTTGATCTTGCGCTGTTATTTTGTGAAAACCAAACAAATCACAACAAATAACACATATAAAACAAACAGCTATCTGATTATATTCAGTAAAACTCCCAATTCATCATTGTAAATGTCTTTTTTTATTTTTGGTCCCTGGTCCCTTTTACCCTATAGAAGGGTTAAAATGGGGCAGCCAGGGGCCAACAGGCTCAATGTCTTATTTTTAATTTTAATGCGATTTTAGTTCAATTATACCTTTTATATATGTTTTTACAGATGTTATATAAAAAAAAACTATTGAATTTAATTTAAAATCAGCATTGCATCTTGTAAAACAATTAAATAACGTATTCTTCAAAAATATATTCGGATCTCGTAAACTAAACAACAATGATTACGATCAAAAAACCTTACAATGAAAGGAAATACTTTTATTATGGATTTTTAAACATTGCCGTTTATCTCCCGATATCAACGTCGGAAGAATCTACGTGATGGCTGGTTATACATTTTTTCCCTCTACTTTCAAACATTGTTTTTGAAAAATTCTTCACTTATTCTTTACTGAATATTAGTAGATATTGTAGATATTAAGTACCGCTCTAGCCTATATTAGTATGGTACTATAAACTAAAATAATTGAAATATCTAAACTATATTTTAAAAACCCTTTATATTGGAAGCCACAAAATAATAAATGCGGTAGGTACTTGCTCTTAGCAATAATGCATGTTCGTAAATTACAGGTAATATTTAAGCAAATTTTTAGAACTAAGGGCTATTATGCTAAGAATATGCAAAGTAGCCAGAAAAGAAATTTTCATATCAACATTGAGGTCTATATAAAATAACATCGTAAAATAACACAACGTGTGTTAGAAGAATACATTATACTGCTTCACAATAAATAATCGTGTTTCTGTTATGATACAGCATCTTACATACTTTTTCCATTCGCCCCAATAACCAGACCGCCGAAGCGAAGACATATTACCATATGCCTTCCTAAGTCAGGAATTCTCAAACAATTGCTTTTTTAAAACCGACAGGAAACGACAAAATATATCAATGACAACATATACTCATAAAAACTACAAACTGCGTGCTCTTAATTAATATACTTAATAATGAAAAAGATAATTGAAGGCTGAGTACGGTCGTGCCACTTTTTTATCAGAAATAATTTTGTTAGTTTATCAGTTAGGCGAGAGAAAAGTAAATTAAATGGTAATTTGAACATTTGAATACGTGAAAATACTGAAATACAGTCATAAAATTCCACAATCGTCTTCAACCCCAGAACGATTGAAACAGACATAAATATAGATAGAAAAATATCTATAAACACCAAGATGGTTTATAACGACTTTTATTATCAGAAATATGTAACGCAACACAAAACATTATCACAAAGCTTTTGAATATAATACAGCAATAAATAACAAAACCAATTTTTCTAACAAGGTTAACTAGAGATAAACTGAACTATGCGACCACTTCTTATAATTAATAAGTCACTATCTCTAGTGCTATTATAAATTTCTTTTATGAAATCAGTCAAAAATGTTAACTAATCAGTAAATGTTAATTATCAGTTAACTAATGAGTCAAAATGTCACGGTAACTAAGAATCAATTTACTGAGATCTAGTCAGAATCACCATTATAATTGTGACAATTGTGATAGTGAAGTGACTATCACCTACGCATTTGACGTGAAACAAGAAATCGCATGTTGCTTGGCACTTGATCCATTTTACGCTACACCTATTTTCAGAATACGAGATTCCACTAACCATACAGAATCTTTAACTAATGCTCAACTTACTGCAAAGTAACGAACAAAGTGATCTTGCCCCTTTGGACCCTATCTCAAAATTAGTATAATTTAGCTGCTATAACGAATGTCACTACCGTACCCTGAAACAATCGTACCCAGTATTCCCTACTCGAAAAGTATACTTTTGAATACAATTTACATATCAAGCTTTTTTTTAATTTAGATTTGTTGAATGACGACACATATCAAGTGTCAAAACGTCTAAATAAAGAATCAATTTATCAATTGAATTATTTTTTAACTTGCTATTATATATCAAATATGTTGGAACGATGAACGTTGGAACAATATAAATATACGTAATAAATATATAATGAATATACGTATATATTACTTTTTATGTTTAGTAGGAATATTTAATTTTTGAAAATAACTACAAATAAAAAAATAGGTTGAGGTTATCCTCTACTTTTAGTAACAAGTTGGAATGATACTAAAATAGTGATAGATTTACTACATAAGAAATGAGATTTCTTACAGTATATTTAATCAGAATTTAGAAAAATCAAATTTTATTTAGAATGTCATTATATTTAAAAATCGCATGGTTTAAGTAGGTATCTGTACCTTCACGTGTACAGTGTAAAAATATATTTCAATACGGGTATTGAAACCTTACTTTTTATATTTGTTTTTGCGAAAAAAAATCTCTAAAAATTATCAATATTCTCCTCCTACGATTGCACATGTATTTATTTAAATTTGTAAAATTTATTAACATGTTGAGACATAAAATTCATAATCATTCATAATTTAATAATACAAATAAATAATTAAATTACTTACTCTAAAGAAGTTCCACGTTGACCCATGATATAATGTACCATATTGGACTTCAGTCTGGGACGCCAAATCTTCCGGTGAGTTAATAGGCGCCACCATTCGTTCGACTGTTAAAAACGCGGCCAAATTGGCAGTATACGAACTTATCAGAATCAGAGTGAAAAACCACCAAACACTGCCAACGATACGACCTAGAAATGACAAAAAACACCAATTGTTTATTTTTATATTTAAAAATAGTGAATAATAGGTAGAATGAATTGATGACTTCTTTAATTTTTGCCCAATTTTTATTCTAAGGTGTTTAGTTGACAATATAAAGATATTTATGATAAATGTAAGACAAATTAATGTGACAGAACTTTTTGGCTACAAATATTCGATAATTTATCCAAATATGAATTATTAGAAATAAATAAGAAAATAATCATTCGAAACCATCATTCAACAACTATTTTTGACCTGTGCATAATCTAATATCTAGACTATTTAATTATATATTGAGTATGCAAAATATTTATTTTGGCAATTATTTTTGGTATGTTATTACTTGCATAATTTTATTTAAAAAATTTAACCGATTAGATTCTAACATAAGTTAGAGTAATATATTATAAGAAAAATGTATAAAATGTTTAATGATGATAGGATTATTTTTGTGTACTAACAAATAATTATTTAATAATAGTGTAAATAAATAATGTGGTCCAGACTCGTATGATTTCTATTTTTTCTTACAATTTTGACAAAAGTTTCGTCCTGCTAAAAGAAAATCACTTCCACATATTTTTAATAATATCTCGGCAAAATAGTGAGATTTGAAGTTTAAAATTTATATATCTGATTTTTTGAAAGACATTGAAAATGACATATAGATTGATTAAATAGTTGTGCTCGTGGGGTCGATTTTGAATAGTAAGGCACCCACACTCTATAATTGTGCGTCTCTTTTTTAAAAAGATATAAGATATTAATCAAGCAATTCAAATACTATAATAATGTAAAAGTGTCTTAGAAGATCACAGGTTACTCTGCAGGTTTACTGTTCGATTACAAAATGTCGCAATTCTATATTAATGGACGGATTCTGCCGCACGACAGATCAATGTTATGGCAAGGCCATGCTACGCTTCAACTTGCATACATTATGCTACTGAATTATAGTAAATATAAATATAATAAATATAATAAACTGAATTACACTGTCAAAATGTCAAGTATTTGCTGTGCAATCAGTCGTTTTACACATAAACTGCAACGTCACTTGTATGTTATGAAGCTGGTTCAGAAATACCCTGTTCTAAGATCGTTTTTTTTTGACAATTTGTGCGGTTTCTAGGTTAGGTTTTCTCTCTGACAACCTGAGAAAAATGCCTGACTGCACAGCAACCATATGGCTTAGACATTATTCAGAACAATTTAGTATGAAAAGTTCTACATAACCTAGCCTTGCATAACATTGGTCTGTTGTGCGGCAGAATCGGTCCATAAAGCTTCTAATAACAACCCAGGCAATTGCATAATTCGGAATTCTAAACCTGAGATAAATTAACAAAATCGTAGCAAATTTTAGGCTTCAAACGATCTTTAGATCTAACGTTAGCTAACAATCTTACTTAGCAACTTTGACCATACATGAATTAAATTCTTGTACATCGCATGTGCAACTTCAGATCCAATCAGATCTTACTTAGCAAGTCATATAAGTTGTTCGAATTTAGATCACAAGTCGTCTTCACAGAAAAATATCAATTTACCTGATATGGATCTTGGTGATATGTCGCATCCTTGTTGCATGAATGCTCCGAGGGAGAACCAGAGCGAGTTCAATATGCTGAAGTCGTTGGCCATAGAATGTTGAACGCCTTGCGATGACGGCAGTGGCTCGTGCGTGTCCCCTGCCAAGTGCAGCAGACGCCACTCGTATGGTGAGAACCGCGACACCATAAATAGAACAATACTGACGCCGATGTAACTGAATATCACGCAAACCTGAGGAAAGAAGGGTAAAGAAAAATTTAAAATGAGGTACAATATAAGCCCTTTAGTCCGGCATCCAACTAACCGATAGTCCGGCACTTTTTTGAAAATTTAGTTTTTTTCAAAAATGTGCAGTTATAGCAAATAAAAATGCTCGAGAGCTATTAGAACGTATTCGGGGTGGCTTGGATTAATTTGAAGGACTCGCTATTATTAACTTCCCGTAGGGCAAGTTATAGTAATCGCAAAAAAATCGAAAATGAAAATTTTTGCATTTCTCGACGTTTCAAAGGTTTCTGAATATTTTGGCATACCTTAGAAAAATTGGATGTTTGTGAGTGTGTGTGTGTGTGTGTGCGTGTGTGTATGTATGTGCGGATACAAATTTTCGTCGACGATTTCGGGAACACCGATCAACCGATTTGAATAATTCAAAAAACATTCGATTCGTATTGATAAGGAGACGTGCTGATTAGTTTTTGGCGAAGTCAGGTATAGCCGTTCCGAAGATACGCGGCAAAAAGTGCCGAAAACGGTAACTCAGTTTTTAAGAGAACGGAGCGTCCGATTTTAATAATTCAAAAAACATTTTACTTGTATTGACAAGGTGAAGAACAGATCAAATTTTCATAAAGGCAGGTTTCGGAGATCTAATGAAAAAAGTAAAAAAAAATGCCATTTGGCGGTCAAAAATGATCATTAGACATATGCACATCAAATTATCAGATATTTTATGAAGATTTTAACAATAAGTATAATTTTACTACGTTAATTTTTTTAAAAGATTTCGAATGTATGTTTTTTTCTAATGAATCTAAATTAACTTTATAGTTTGTACTTCCTACTCATTTTGTAGTTTGATTCTTATTCTAATTGTTTTTATAATTACCGTCCAATAGTCCGAAATTTTTGATACGAAATTTTCAATACATAAATGAAAATCTGAGAGGACCATCAAGTAACTAAAAAGAAAAGCTTTCAGAAAATCTGTATTTTTCTAGACCATTTCGACAGACAGTTTTATCATCATTAGTCAGTATCTATAATTTCTAAAACAAATATAGAATACATTGATAACAGAAAAATCGACACGAGACGTTACATCTGTAAGATATTCTGAATTAATTAAAAACTATAGTTGTAATTTTTGTCTTAGAACTAAAACCATTTGATGCATCCGTCGATGTAATGTCTGTTTAATGATGATTGATAATAATAATAATAATAATAATAATAATAATAATAATAATAATAATAATATATATATATATATATATATATATACATATATATATCTTGAGGATTTTTTGTTCGACGTTGAAAATGCATATTGAAATGAATAAAACAGCCAATGCGTCGAATGTAAAGAATTTTTATTTTATTTTTTATACGTTTCGAGACTAGATGTGTCTCATCATTCAATGAATTCTTTACATTCGACGCATTGGCTGTTTTATTCATTTCAATATATATATATATATATATATATATATATATATATATATATATATTAGATAGGTCCTGGATTTCTCAGTGGTTAATTAATCTCAGTCAAAACTTTCAAATACTCCCATATCATTTTTCTACGAGTGCTTTCGACAAAAAATAATTGATATGGATTTATATATCAATATTGCAGAAAAACCTGATAATAGAACATATCTAGTTCCGAAACGTCGTAAATAAATTTCTACAAAAAACTAATTGTTTTTTATTAATTGGATTAATTGTTCGGAAAAGAAACATATATCAAGTTGTTGAAAAATCCGGACCTGTCTAATATATATAATATATATCTTAACATGGGTAAAATTTCATATGTTTTTTAAAATTTCATTAATTCAACGTCTCCAAAAGTAACTCAAAATTTTAGGAATAAAACGTATGTATTTGCTTATTTTGCTCATAAATGAAAAATTTACAACAACGTCTTGATATATTTTATAAAACACGTATTTACTCAGGAATAAGATCCAAGAAACTTTGGTTGTAGTGCGGACTATCTTAAAGTTAAAATTAGGAGTTATATATATAAATAAATAAATAAATATATATATATATATATATATATATATTAAAAAGTTTAGTAATCGTGCATAACATCAATAAAAAATATGAATTTCTTTCAACACTTTATTTTACATCCATACGTTTCGGCTATAATTCTATTTCTAGCCTTCATTTAGTGGAAACTAAAAATATAATTAAAAAGTAAAACAATTGAATTGGAGTGAAAAGAAAAAAAAGTACAACGACTACCAATATTTTTACCAAAACCAAAGCGCCTTTTAACATAGAACGACTTGGAAATCTCGTCTATCAAATAAATTGTCTGAACTATAATTTAATTTACATAGAAGAAACAAACCAGAACTTAATTAAACGTTTACAACAACACAAAAATAATTTAATAAAATCCCATACAATTTAAAACTATGCTTGCGGACCACATTACTACTTTATAACATAATGTAGACTTTTCTAACCCGACTGTACTACAATTCGAACAAAATTTATTTAAGGGGTTAGGGGTACTTGGAGGCACAAAAAAATGAGAATTTTCAATTTTTTTTTTGTTATTAAACGATGTTTTTTTTACAAAAATATTAATACGGTATTATTCTACAATGTTTTGACTTGAAGTAACAAAAATTTCAGAAAAAATAATTTAATATTCTCAAAGTTATAGCTGTTTTTGTTGACCCTGTTTCAAAAAACGGTCCTGGCGGTGACCATCATAACTCCTTAGAGATCCATCCAAAATTAATCAAATAAAAAAAATAGTTTTATAAATAGATAATCTTGGGCCTGATCAAAGGTTTTATTTTTTTTGCAAAAATTAACAAAATGGCAGCATCAGAAAAAAAAATCTAGATTTTTGGGTAAAAAATCAACAGTTAATTGGTGTTAAAAAATTTAAATTTTTGAAAATATAAAAATCCTTCGATCAGGCTCGAGTTTATTGTGTATTGTAAAAGCTGTATAAATTTCATTAAAATTTTCAGTGTTCACCGGTTCAAAAAACATAGTTTTGAGAAAATCGCGTTTAAAGTTTCACATTGGATTTACGTACAGAAATTCGAATTATTGAATTACTTAAACCGAGTCATCTATTTCTGGGCCATATAATAGTTCATCAGTAATTGTGCAAGTTTAATAGTTCATCAGTAATTGTGCAAGTTTCCAAAATTTCCATTTGCTGTTGCCTACGAAGCATTCTGTCCTCCCGAATGTTCTCGTTGGCACGCTGATCTGCCACTTTCACACGTGCAGCATCCAATTTTTCAGCATACCAACGGAAATTATACCCACAATTAGGTCCTAGGGTATCCATAATCAATAATAATGATTATGTATATATACATAATCATTATTATTGATTATGGATACCCTAGGACCTAATCGTGCATATATGCATTCAGCAATTTGTACGATAGTAGAACTAGTATTCACGGTTTTTAGGCATATTTTTTACACTAGTTGGTTGAAGCTTTTAATTTTTTCTGATTATGGATTCAATTTTGAACTACACATCTTGAAAGTAAATTCTCATTGCTGAGATTGTCGTAAATCGGTTTAAAAGCTTTTAAAACATCAGGAGGTGAGAGAGAATAATCTTGAGTATCAGTATCGAGCTCTCCAATTGCGTCAACGCGCTGGTAAGAGTCCAATAACTCAAAAAGTAATCGGCGGATCAATTCGAAATTTTCAGAGAACATTTTCAAGATATTACACTTAATGAAAATGCAAAAAATCGATTTTTCAAAAATTTTAAGTAGCCCTAACCCCTGAAACGAAGTATTATAGGAGGATCTTTTTTGACTATTTATAACAATAGGACAATAAATAAGCGAAATGAACTTAACACGCTGTGCGACTCAAATCTCTTTTATTTAGATAGAATTTCCAAATTTCTCACATAACAATAAAAATGTCGCGCAAAGGATTTGCAAGTCGTTCCACACATGTGTAGAATCTTGGTAAGAATATTTAAAAAAAATCTTTTCTCCATTATGACTTCAACCAGTTTACGAACAACACATATATCTATCTATTTGTGATTTTTTAAGTTAGCATTTTGTGAAATATTGTTTAATTATAAGTTTAATATTTATATTACATAGTTTCATTAGAATTTTCTAATTTAACACTAAAATTAACTGATTGTAAGTACGTTTTCCTCTTTATTTTTTTGCTTTTCACTCCAATTCAATTGTTTTAGATTTTAACTTTATTTTTAGTTTTCACTGAATGAAAGGTAGGATTATAGCCAAAACGTATGGATGAAAAATAAATGTTTGAAAGAAATTGCACATATAAAATATATTATATATGTATATATATATATATATATATATATATATATATATATATTAAATATAATTTCTATGTCACAGAAGCCTTACCCAAATTTCTTTAGAAAGCGGATTAAGGAAACTAAAGACTCCTGGTTTCTGCTTGACTGGTTTTTTGATCATGATGGATATGCCCAACGACATGAACGGTTTGCTGAAGTCAATCACACGTTCCCTCTCCGACGTAATGGTCATTGAAGCTATTGCCATATCTGCTTCCTAGAATATCAAAAATATACAAAATTAATTGAAATGTATTTAGGATATTCCGAACTCATAACTAATAAAATATGACCATCAGTTTCTTTATGGTAATGATGCTACGAGGTCTTTACAGTAATGGCGCTCGTTTTTTTCCAAACCAACACTCAATTAAGTATGGAAAAATACTTTTGTAACGGCCAAACAAATGTAAAGTTAGCGTATAAATATAATAACTTATTGCAAAATAAATATTTTTTAAATCATGTAAAAAATTATTATGTAAATCAAACCGTTGGTAAATAACCGTTTTAACTCTCTCTGGGTTAAAAAGCAAAAATATCTTTCAAACAACCAAATAATTGTATAACTCTCGAGAAATTACCTCTATATGGCATTTTTAGAATATATTACAGCATTGTTATTCAACCGTATTTCAACGCCCACCGGGTTAAAAAAAACGGAATTATACTCCTAACAACGAATATATAACTTCTTTAAAAATATTGTTGAGCTTCTTCATCATACATTTAAAATTTTTGATATTTTTATTTTTCTATCTCAATAATAATATAATTGATATTATGGAAATTACTCTATAAATAATCCAGTAATTGTAAAACTCTTGTTGAAATATTATAAATCTCACTAATTGCATCATCAAGTAATAATAACAGAAGTGTTTTAGCTTCTTGAAAACGAATTAATGCACAAAACAATAGTGATTCTCATTATAATATTAATAATGATAATTGGGTAAGGTATTAGCATTCTCTATGAAAATAATGCGATATTATCTAGTATCTACTGCAATTATATCAAGAGAAAATGTTCCAACTTTTAATTTGTTTTCTTTAGTTCAATTATGATTAATTTGTTTTTTTTATTGTTTGAACAGCAATTAGAACTCTTATATGTTCTATAAGCTGTTTGTTTGTTAAGGACTTATGACTATTTATGTATTTCATAGAGGCAATCCATCGATTTACCATTCTCTTATGTGTGGGATATTTTTAATATTAGCTCTTACATCTAATAGTTAGCATATAATTGGATGTTGCAGCTATGTCCACGAAAGACGATTTCCACTTGGAATTATATTGTGATCTATAACCCCAAGTGGTAATTTTACATCAAAGCTGCCTGATGTCGGGCTACGGCGGTAGCGGGAATCGAACCAGCGAACCCGGGACTAGTTGCTGCTAGCCCACGCTCTAACCAATATTGCACCGCTGGCCTAATTATGATTAATATAATCACTGTATTTTTTTTTATTAAAGTAGGTATTTTTACGATTTTCAAAAATGTGTTTTCGGTATGAGAACTTAGTCACCTTAGTCCAAAGTACTACTAAAAACTATATTAAATTCAGTTTGAGATCAACTTTTCATTAGTTATTAGTCACCAAGTCTAACATAATTATCAAAATAGTACTTATTATATAATAATAATCTGAAAACGAATATGCTTATAAAGTAATCGAGGGTATTAATAATGGAAATGGAACTATTTATAAACGGTATACACTGGCCACGTGGTGTTTGGCAATTGCAACTTTTAAATTTAAAGTTAAAATGTCAGATTAATTGTATTTATCAAAAGAATCTATAAAATGATTTATATTAAACCGATACGAATGAGAAATTTTGCATAAGTAGGGGACATTGGGTAGGGTTGTGCCAGGTTACGGTAGTGACAGTAGTCATAACAGCTAAACTACACTGATTTCAAGAGAGGGTCTAAAGAAAGAAAGATGAAGTATGTTTGTTCGAACAAGTTCTTATTATTGGATTGAGTCAGCGCTCTACACTAACGTTATCTGTAAAAGAAGAAAGATGAAATTTAGAAGAAGTTCCCATTATTGCATTAAGTAAGGGCCCTACATTGACACGAGCTGTAGATCATATTGCTTTCAAAGAGTCAAAAGTAAGTTTTTTTGTTCGATTTCTTTTAATAATAACTGTTACTTAGATACAGATAAATCAATTTGTTTGTTATTTAGCTGTAAGTTAAACATTAGTAGTTAATAACTAGTTATTAGTTTTTGCGTAGATATTTTAGCTCAGTCATAACGATGATTTATTTTCAAAAGCGTTCGCTGGGTACTGTTGTGACATGTATTTATTGTCCTTTTGGGGTGAAGATTTGGGTGAAAGAAAAATGTAACTTAACTAAGATAAAATATCAAATAGAAAGGAAAAGAAACATTTAATACAAGAAAATGAAGATTTTATAAAGATTTCTTGTTTATTGTTTAATTTTGTTTTCATATAATGTTATTTCTTTATGAAAATTTTTTGTTTAAATGATTATGTTGTTTTGTTAACCATTTTGGTGTTTATAGCTATAGTTTTTTAACCTATTTTTATGACTTTTGCAGCTCGCCCTTTTTTGTAAGATTTGAGAGCTGAGTTTCTCTATTTCCACGTAGACTTATACATGATAAACACGTAAATTATTATTTAATTTTTCTTTTTCCCAGCTAACTCGTAAATTAATAAAATTATCAAATAAAAACTTGCCAAGAGTGGCACAACCGTACCCTATCTATTCTGTTACTTAAGATAATCGAAGATCTTCGAAATTATAAATTAAAATCAATGACATAACTTGAACAAATGCTTACATATAAATATGCTTAAACGATTATCATACATAACCAAACAATTTTCTTTGAAGGCACAAGATGTAATTTATCATATAAAATATAAGTAGTTTCACGTCTTGAGCAACCTTACCCTAGAACTATAATTCAGAATCTGAAAAATTAAAATAACTAAAATTTGGAGAAAATATTACCGAACATATTGATTACAGTTATGAATTATATATATTATCATATTTTTATAGATTCTGATGCGTTATAGTATTAGTAATAGACTGAATAAAATGCTTATATGAGACAGAATTTACTAAAAGGTAACTGATGATCATAATATAATAATAGTGTCTTTGATACGCAATATTAATGCGAGTCAGTTGCCGAGTATTCGACTGCGGGAATCCATATATCTGGTAGGTTTTCCGCACGCGCTATTTGATCTAAAGAATGGCTGAGAAAGGTACACGGAGAATAATTCTATAAGCTACATGAAGCATTATAAACTGAAATGAGATTAGGCAGGGTAGGATATCTACGTTATTTACTGCGATCGAAATGTACTCCACGAAACCCATGATGAAATATAGCCAGGATCTTTGTTTCAATGCTATGTCATTTTTGTTCGAACTTAATTGATTTAGGATAGAGTTTCGGGAAAAAATTCCTGATATTAAATTCGATTTTTATATAATATGTTGGACCAAAAGCCTTTATGGTCATTATTGATCAATTTATTTCTTATATACTTGTTTGTTATTTTTTTAAACCCATATTAACTGAAGACCATTTTGCGTAGATTATGTTAAGGTAAACCGTGGTTTAATGGTCCACCAACAATATCTTAAAAATAAATGAAGTTAAAATTTTAACTACAATATTTGAAATTAGAGGGAAAAACATGTATAACCATCACCACAAATCAATCAATCTACATCGCAATGAAGAGATAAACTGCTAAGTTTGAAAATCTATAACAAAAAAAAATGTTTTTTTGTTAATTTTTCTGATTGTAAACTTTACGAAATTCTAATATAATTTTTAACAACTCTAAATTGTTTTATAAAGTGTAATTTTAATTTGAAGTGTGCTTCAACAGATATTTTATTTATAACTTCTATAACAGTTTACATACTTGTGGACTAAAAAGGACCAACTGAGTCTTTACCTTGGCAAAATCGTCAACAATAAAAAAAATAGTAGATAAAAAGGTAAATACAGTTAAAAAAGCAATTATACGAGATATATATTAATAACTATTTCAATTCTGCAGATATATATTTCTGACGACTACCAGATCAAGGTTATATGCAGTGTTATTTTTGTGTCCATAAAATTTGTCTCTTGCATAGGTAGAATATTGCAGATATTGTTTCGTTTAAATTTCTTAAAGATTAAACACGACATATTTTGTATCTGTTGCCCTCGGGCTGTCTCGTTTTACCCCGCCTATGGTTAACTCCATGACAATTTGTGATATATATATATATATATATATATATATATGCGTGTGTTTATTGATATTCATAACCTTATAATAATTTATATCAATTCATTTCATTTATTCACTTCCGTGCCTGAGCATTTTGGCAGAAAATGGAAACTCAGTTTTTGTGAGAACCGGGCATCTGATTAGAACGATTCAAAAATATTCGTAGGTTCGTATAGACGGGGAGACGTACTGATTAGTTTTTTGCAAAGGCAGTTCCAGCCGTTTCAGAGGTACGGAGCAAAAAGTGCAAAAATAAAAGTTATATTGAGAATGAATCATCTACTTTAGAAAACATTTTGCTTGTGTTGACAATGAGAAGAATTTATTCGGATTCAAATTTTAATTTAGGCTTTCATCATGGTACGGGAAGTTCCAGTAATTTGCCTTAAGGCACGACGCCATGCACCACTAGTTTTAACTAAGTTTGTACAAGTGATTCATTTAACGATAACACTTCAGGATTACTTTTCAATACTGTATGGTTTATTGTTGGAAAATTTATTATTATTTTCGAAGTCATTCTAAATCATTTGAGAGGAGTATTAGAAATAAAGTGTATGTGTATGTGTATGTGACCAAAATTTAGCCTTTTATCGATATTTTCTCAAAAAGGTGTACCAAATTCAAAAATTTTTATCCATTTGCTGAAACTCAATAAGGCTTCACGTTGATTAGTTTTCATTATAATCTGCTAAATTAAATATGTGCAAAATATTAGAAGTCCATAAAAATTCTTTAAAAATTGGAATAATGGGCTGCGCGCTTGAGATATATAATACCGTGTATGATTGGAAATCGCATTAATTAGTTTTTAAGAAAAAATAATATTTTTATTTTAGAAATAAATAAATAAAAGTCATATTAGTATAATTCAAAATTTCACGATAAGTATATTAATTACACCTATCAAAACTTACATATATATAT